ACTAATAATGTACAATGACAAGTTAGTCGCTTTGTGAAAGTCTGTAAAATATTTAGGTATTTCTCAATATCTCAATATCGACACACCATTGTGGCATGATTGCGGGTTAAAAAAAAATAAAAATAAAAAATAAAAAAGTAAAAATAAAGGCTTTTTTTTAAAAATATCAATTAAAAATAAATCTTTTTTTTATACAAAACTATTTTTTGTATAAAAATATAAAAATTAAACACAATTTTAAATTTTTTTTTAAAAAATAAAACTCAAATAACTAAAAATAAACCATATAAAAAATAATAATAAACTATTTTTTTAAAATAAAAAATTAGTTATTTTAAAATTTTTTAAAAAATAAAACTCAAATATCAATTCTGAAGTATAGCCAGATCTTTAGACTATTTAAAATACTTTATAAAAAATAATTTTTTTTTTAATAAAAAATATAAAAATTAAACACAATTTTAAAAATTTTAAATGAAAATAACTAATTTTGAAACATAGCCCAGGCCTTTACACTATTTAAAACCAAACTATATAAAAAATACATTTTTTTAAATATAAAACTATTTTTTTAAATAAAATATAAAAATTAAACACAATATAAAAATATTTTTTAAAAAAGTAAAACTCAAATAACTAATCCTGGAGCATATCCCAGGTCTTTATGCTTGTATGATTTTAATAAGTAAATCAGAAGTAGAACGACTTATGCGGGTTGTGCATAACGGAATCAAATGCCACCGTTCTAAGTATTGTTTCTTTTTATAGGAAAAATTAATGAATGTTTTTAATTTTGTGTAAGGTTTAATGACAAAAACTAATGACCTATTGTGTAAATTTAAAAGTTCAAAGACCAAATTTTTACACGCATAACGCGTATTTACAAAAGTGTCCGAGTATACGAAAGGTATTTTTAAATATATAAGCGAGAGATTGCAATTCATATCATGGAATTTAGGGCATACGTATATGGTAATACGGTACGTATGTTTTAAAAATGGGAAGCCAGAAAAGAAATAACCAGATAATAGAAGTCAAGGCCTAATTCGCATAGATCTATTCACAATAATTGAACAGATTTAAAATAAATCAAAGACTATTATATCTTATCTATATATTAATTATAGTATCAGTGTATAATAAATAGTTTCTTAAAACAGAAGTAATAATAGGCCAAATTTTTTCTATTTCTTTTATCCCATGTTTATCTTTTTCAAAAATATTAATTTTTAGTATAAATAAATTTAAAATATAATGATAAAAAACGACAGAAAAAGAAAAAAATGATGAATAAGTGGCGACAAAGAACAGATAAGATGAATACAATACCTTATTAATTTCATTTTGGATTTTATTTGTTAATTCAGTTTATTTTATATTATTAATATTTTCGGAAAGTCACACATTCGATGATAATTCGCAAGAAAAACAAGAGTAATAATATATTCATACTGTTTAACAGATAGAGTATACGTGTATCAGATAAATTTATATACAGTATGTATTGAAATAAGAATGGAAAGTACAAAGTTGCATAATATTAAATATTTTATGCGAAAATATATTTGGCTAACGTTATAACTTATGAGTATAACTTCAAATTTTGGCTTTTTTTGAGCCAATAACATGCCTTCTCTTCATCTCGAGCAATTCCCATTCCATTTTTATAGCAACATCCAAGGTTATACTGTCCAATAACATTTCCTCCATCTGCCGATTTTTGGAACCAGTAAAACGCGTTCTCGTGATCCTGAGCCGTTCCAATTTCTTTCTCATAACAAAATCCAAGATTATTTTGTCCGCTCGCATTTCCACCTTCAGCAGATTTTTGGTACCAGTAAAAGGCTTTCTTGTAATTCTGAATTATACTAATCCCATAATAATAACAATTTCCAAGTCGGTTCTGTTCACTCGTATTTTCACTCTCAACCGATTTCCAATCCCAGGAAAATGCTTTCACATCATCTCGAGTAGTTTGAATTCCTTTTTCATAAAAAACTGCAAGTATCAGGGCGTTTTCTAAATTTTTCTGGGAAAATATTAATAAATTAAGGATTTGCGACGAAGTTGTTTGCCTACTATCAATAAATCTATCAATGGAAGATATAAACTCCGGGGAGTAATAAAGTCCTCTATTTAATTGATCGGAGATGAGCTTATATAAGTTATTTAACAATACTTTTGTATTCTGATTCTCGGTTTCTATTATTTTATAATTACTTGGAATTATGACTCCCTCGTTAACACTACCTTTTTTACTTTTGTAAATTTTAATTAGTTGGAATTCTGTTAGGAGCTCTAATGTATCCGGCATGAAAGGCAAATTTATTACAACCGTCGTATCCAAGGAGTCAAGTAATTCTTTGACCTGATTAATTTCTGGCCTCTTATCAGGACTTTGATCCCAGCAGGCTAGGTAAATTTGGTAAATATTATTATTCACTCAAATAACCAATTATATTTAAAAAATTTTATAAACGAACCTTCATAAATTTCTACATATTCGAGAGGTGTTTCTTCAACTTTGGCCTCTCTATGACCTGACATAATTTTAAATGCCAATTCAAATCCATAATCTTCGGATTGAAAAGGTGGATGTCCGCTCGTGATCTCCCAAAGTAAAACGCCCAAACTATAAATGTCCGATTTTTTAGTTTTCTTAAGATAATTCATATCGTTTGTTTTGAAAAATTGTGGGTCAATGTATGGCACCACTTCGTTAAGTTTATTTTCGGACCAAATATTCGAGGAATCTCTTAATTGTTTGGATAAACCGAAGTCGGAAAGTTTTATGTTCCCTTCTTTAATAAGAATGTTTCTTGAATGCTAATGGTGATTCATTTAATGTACAGTATCATTACAAAATACATAATATTATTACGTAGATGTAATACGATTGAATAATTACCAAATCCTGATGAACGATGTCTCGTCCGTGTAAACATTTGATCGCATTCGTAATTTGTTGGGCCATACGTAGCTTATCCTTCCACCTTAATTGTTTAAAGTTTTTTCCAAGATATTCCCTCAAGGTTCCTCCATCAGCGTATTCATTTATCCTAAGGTATGTTGAATTTTTTGGAGCTATTTAATTATTGAAAAGTTAATGTATCAGAATATAACTAAAGTGTGAATTATTTAATATGCCAATTACATTTGGTAGAGATTCCATATAATCTCAAAATATTGTCATTATCATTAAAGTCGACGTATTTGTGCAGCTTAAGCTATAGATTATAAAATGGATTTGTGAATTACTTATAATCACTAGATCTTTAATGCGCACAATACGCATGTATATACAATATACAGTAAATAAATACCTCGTTAATAAATGCCCTCTCTATATCTTTATTGAAAATCTTAATCTCTTTGATTGCTATTATTTTTCCATTGCATTTTAAAGAAACCGTATATTCTTTTTTGAAAGTTACCGCTTTCTATAGTTTCGATAATTTTAATATCTTCATATTTAAATTGTGGCAAGGTTAATTTGCTTATTGAATTATTGAGATCTGCACAAGAGACAACTTCCAAATTTTTCTGTTCAGATTTCTCCCATATTAATTGGTTTGTTGAATCTTCGAGTTCTTTGAAACAAGAAATTTCTCTTTCCGCGAATCGTACCGTTTCTGAATCTTTTTATGGTTACAGAAAATAACAGCATATGAAATCAGTTCAAGAGTTCAATAAAGCAATACGGTAATTATTTATAATCTGATAGATATGTGGTTAAAGAAAATTACTTAACATTGCCATTTAATATATAAGGTCAAAAGTAAATTTTAAGTGGTAAAAGAAATTTGTCAATACTAACCCGTTTCCAATTCCGAATGAATATTTCGACCAATTTTTTTCATAAAATCCTTGGAAGCAAACTCAATATTCGGCATTTCATGAAACTCCATTTCTGGGACAGTCAAAATGTACCATATAATTCTTAATTGTGAGGAATTCGAGTTTTCACAAATTGCGCGGATTTTGGACTGTTCGCTATTAATAATTCTAAGATTCAGACAGCCTCCGTTATAAGATAGAATATCCACGCAAAATTTGGGATTATGATTGGATAGTGGATATTCGAAAGTAGTGACAAGGTAAGAATTGGGAGGCAAGTTGTCTAAAATTTCCAACGACAAGTCCATGGTCTCTAATTTACGGGATTTCAACGGAATTGATTTCGATCCCATGTTTAAGATAAAAATGCTTCGAGTCTTTGGACTATAGCAACCAACTTCTAAAGGAATTCCGATTGCTATCCAGTCTATTTCCATATTCGAAAAATCCATTTCACTGATTATTGATATTAGCCTTAATACGTCATTTGATATAGTAACCAGAATAAATTATCACTAAAATTACTCACCTGTCTCCCAAAGTTTCTATTAGCGCCAAAAATCCGTGGGCCCCAAAGGTTTGAAATTCACGGTAGTTCTGCTGCACTTTGTGAGCATTTATGATTAAGTTTTCCCAGAATCCGATAGTTGTCTTTATGTAATTTTTTATCAAAAGATACTCGGTAATATTTGTTTGCATTTTTTAGTGGGATGGTGCCTGCCATGAAGATTCTTTCCTTGATTTTTGGAATGATCGGCTCATTTAAAGTATTGTAACCGGCTACAAACGAATCATTATCGATCTCTATGATGGATTTAACCTGAGAACGAAGAGGTTCGTCCAAAATTTCGTATGATGGAAGTAGGTCCTCGTAACCGATGACCTTCATTCGCTTTGTTTTTGTCTCGCAAGAAAGCATCCATTTTTGAACGTCGTTTTCTTTTATTACTTCCCCAGAAGTCGATAAAAAGTAATTTTGCTTAATTCCATATGGCTCTGCAATAATTTTCCATTGGCGTAGAAGGTTCTCACAATAACTAGCTTTGATTTCATTTTTTAATTTTGGGGTTAAATCAATATTGACTTGTATTTCGTCTAATGCCTGATCTCCTGAATCTAAATTCTGATTTAATGGTATGTGTGATATCTTGTATAGTTTATGACCAATGATAACTTTTCGCGGCACAAAGTAACCATAGTCGGTAAATGTGTTTGTTAATTCTTCGTACGGGTATGAATTTTTTAAGGCATTGATTATAGACATTCTAAATGCTTCGGAGGGCAACATGGAATTCTCTTCAATATCGGCTTCGAACTTTTTAAGTTGAAAGCTAAGATATATGGTATGGGTCGACGATTTGTTATCTAAAAATTGACTTATTTCTAAATCTGTACCGTTGCTAATAAACTTTATCCATTCTGTTGGTACCTCCCGAGTGCCTATTGTCCCTATATGATTCTCTAAGAGATCAAGACCTCTTTTTTTATTACTAGATAACAGAATCGCCGAAAATTCTCCGTGATTGGATGACAATTTCCAATTGAAGTTACCAAGGGAACATGGAGCTCGACGCACCCCGGGCGAATATATTATCATTCCATTATTTGATAAAAGAGATTCCGCCGTTTCTGAAATGATAATTAATCATTATCGAATGTCATATGATAGCCTCCAAAAATATATTACAAACTGGATTACAGAGATAACATCAAATATCTACAATAATGCTTACTTTCTTCATCTTTGGATATAATTTGCTGGCCTACATTTTTTTAGGTATTTCAATAAAATACAAATGAATTACATTAACCCGAAAAAGTAAATAAGATACATACCCATCGCTCCATTTTTCGTACTTAATTCTAGGGATAATACTGTACGGAAGACAGAAAACAATTTAAATCCGATCCCCTTTTCATTTTCGGAATCATCTTGCTGACCTATAAAGTTTTGGGCCAATAGACTATAGAATATATTGATGTCACCTGCACCGCACGCTAACAATTGAGCATAGATATAAATAATAGAGATAACGAACAGGACGATAGACGTCAAAATTTGAGTAATCACGAATATGTCGGCGACTTCTAAACAGATGTCGACGAAAGATGAAACATAATCTTTTGAAACATTCATGACGTTCTGGAAAGTTGTTTATTGTTCCAGAATAGAATGAGAGGGGGAAAGGTATTGCAATCGTTTGATATAAAATTTAGGAGATTTCTATTTATTTCCAATTATTCATACCGTGTGGTAACAATTTTTTGTTAGTAGTTTTTGTCCTCACGTATTACGTAATCCGGGTTTTAATCTCGCTCCATAAAATTCAATAAAGATTGCGGTCTGGTGATTGTGATTATGATATGTGCTACCATGCTGTAATAATCATGCCATGATTGACTTACGGTCGTTAACGAGAGGTAACACCTGACTTTATTGTGCAATCGTCGGGGTGGCTTTCCGCGCCGGCTGCATATCTGGTTGTTCATGCACAATTAGAATCATTCACATGAATAGGTTCTTACTTCATTTATCCATAGATGCAATCTCTTTACTCTTTATAATTACGATCTACGTACTGTATCTTGATTTCTTGAAAGATTCTACGTACTTGCAAAGGTTCATCATCACATAGTTTTTTAAATTATCAAGTTCTCGGTTAATCCACACCGATTAAAAACTCAGGAAATTTTGCGCCGATTTTTTGAGCATTTTTATCGTATGATTTTTTGATTGTAAAATATACCGTAATAAGGAAGTTGGCACTTAACTCTTATCATCATGATGTAAGCCTTCTGTACGTTTTACAGAAAATTCAATGATAAATACATGCGCATCGAGGAAACAAAGACCAGTTGAAATATAGGATAAGTTATTATAACTGTATAGAATGGATGGTCTTATTCTGTTAACTCATTTTCTAATTCTCTTAATAGTTATCTTTATTCTGATTTTAATGTTTATTATCCAGAAATTTTATTTGGGTCAAGAAAAACTAATCAATGTATACGTTGATGATGTTCAATGGTGCCTAAAGTTAAATAATAATGAACCAATAGCCAAAATTCGTGATAAGGTAGATGAAGATGGTTTAGTGAAAAAAGGATTTTTATTTAGAAATAAAGGAAAAGACAAGCCAGTAATCAATAAAGCCGACGAAAATAAAATTTTTCTTGTGGAAATCCTTGATAAGAATAATTTATATATCACTCAGCCAAGCTCCCAAATTCAAATAGAAACAGATGATATAAAAGTTTTGTCATTATCAACGGCAAAAACGGATTTAAATATTTATTTAAGAAGGATGCAAAACTTTCCGATGCACGATTATTGTTAGAAAAGGATTCGAGATTAAAATATCATTTTGTTGATAAAAATGGCTTCAAGGTCCATCCAAATGACGAATCAAAAGAAACTTTAATGAACAACATAAATAGAGACAATGATAATAATACTTTGATTACTGTAGAAACAGACGAACCTGATCGGGAACGATTGGAAAAAATGTGTGAAAACGGATTTATTATTGATAACGTCATTAAAAAGCCACCTGAACAAGCATTTGAATTCAATGTTAAAACGCTAAATATAAAAGAAGGATTTTACGAAGAAACACTTGAGTGCCATGATAAAATAGAAGATCTATGCAAACGGAATCTAATCACATCTGCCAGTGTTTCGGCTGCTACTCCATGGTTGCCCTTGTTCTTGGAAGGATCGTATGAAAACTCTAGTAGTATGGCTAGGTCGCGTCAGAAAATGACAAAATATACGGTTGAGAAACATTTGAAGGCAGAAATAAAAATTTCAGATGTGAGATTATCAGAAAAATTTGTGAAAGAAGTCAAAGCTGCTTTAGGAGAAGGCAAAAGTAGAAATAAAAATGACATGATTCAAAAATTGCGTAAAATTACGGAAAGATATGGTCACTTCTATGCTAAGCGTATCGTTTTTGGAGGAGCTATCGTAAAAGGTATAACGAACGAAAGAATATCAAGTAAGTTCTACCATTAATATATCATAATTGAAACGAGAATTTTTAAAAAATATGTATCCTATTAACAATAAAGAATTTGTTTAGAAAATAGGTCTGAAAATCAGAAATTCAGCATAAAAACATTAATTGGATCTTTTATGGGTTCAACTATTACGAGATGCAAAGAGAAGTCTGATATCGAAGTCAATTCAGAAATAAAGTCCAATTCCCAAATTTTTGGAGGCAATAAATACGATCCCAATAACAAAAGGTTGTGGGTCAAATCCCTTGAAGATCCAAAAAAATGGGAAATTATAGGCTATGATGAAATTTATCCGATATTTGATTTACTAGATGATGATTTAAAGAAAGAGATTCTAGAAATATTTGGTCAAATAATTCGTGATGGTAATTATATAACTATTCGGAAACATACGTATATGGTAATTTTGTTTGCTTTGTTGTCACTATATAGTATTTTGTTCCTGATTTTTTTCTACTTACATAATAATCGTAGTGAATACCGAGGATATTCATTTTGAAATGAACATAAATGACAACATTCCTTTTGAATTTAGACTACACGAAAAATTGGAGTTTTCAGCAAATATAAACCAATACAAGATTTATACATCGATTATGAATAAAAAAGAAAAGGACATATTTTCTTTGCGCGTCCACTATTATGACGAATATTCTCCAGTTATATTTATCCATCGGATTGACTGTTCCGGAAAAAGCAACGAGAAATCTAGTGAAATTGTGATGCAAGAATTTAACATTCAAATTGGTTGGATAATTTTTGGGTACCCTGAAGAATTAAACTTTGGTCAAATTCAAAATCATATGACATTTTCGAGTTGGAATTTAAATCGCGATCGCAGCAAAGAGTACTTCTATAGGCCCCCAGAATTACCCCGAGAGCCTTCTCATGGATCGTGCATATTATCAACATGCATCTCAAAATCGTTGGAAGAAAATACTGAATCATCCTCCACAACAAAAACTTCGTCATTTGATCATTCTAAAACTACGATTATTACTAGCTTACACCTTTCACTGGACGAGCACTCCGTATGCTTGGCCGCATATGATCTCGCAAACCAAAATATTTGCCGTGATGAAAATTTTTATGATAGCCTGGACTTATTTTCGAGGTTCATATTTTCCTTCTACGTATTACTGTATTATGTTTAAATCGTTTGTCAATTAACCAAATACGTATATTTTTATAAAAAAATATACGTACGTAGTACCGTCGAAGAAAATCATTATAATCGTGATATTATTGGGCAGATAGACATTGATTGGGACACCTTTAGGGATGCAAATAAAGGAGTTTCTTGGTCATTGTTTAGCTTTATCGATAAAGATAGCTTGAAAAAGATTATCAAAAAAAGTAAATACGGATCGTAATGATGACGGGAAAAAATTTATAGATCCATTATTTATGAATCTTCACTTTAGAGCGTGTCCTGGTCAATGTCAGAATGCAATCGTCAATATCAATTCAAACTCCATATTATACAAACCTTTGGTTGACACCGCCATCAAAAAGAATTACGGTCGAGTCTCTTATTTTTGTGCGTTAACACGGGATCTCGATGCATCGAAATTCAAATAGCGAATTTTTATCACGTTTTTCATTATATTTTAGAAGTTACTTTAATTTTAATTTTCCAAGTTACATTTTATATGGAATAGTTATCATTTATTATTCTGAAGAACGGTGGTAATAAAATTCTGATACTGTATTATATCAACAATGTAACTTACATATTGTGGTTAGTTCGATAAATTTTTTATATTAATATATCCATTGCGGTTTAGAATCCTTGCATAAAATTTTGCAGTGAAAATTTTAAATCTGTAAAAAAATCCAATAATTAATAAGACATCGGTTTTCGAAAAATATACTGTAGATGCTCTGAAATAAGACTTAATACCGGCTAAAAATAAGTTGAATGCATTCTCTACAATGTGAAAATTAGAAGAAAATCCGAAAAATATCCAGGCCAAAATCAAGGAATTCAAAAGGATACAGAAGTCTTATTCTTAAGGTAGAATGCAATAATTTATGTACTCTGTTACTCAAAAACTAGATCCAGACACATATTATATAACCTTAGATAATATCTGATTATTATTAATAATACAGAAATAAACTCAAATTATGCTATGAAGAAAATTAATACAGTTTATAATAAATGGCAATTATCAATAGGAGTATAGGTAAATAAAGAATTAATTATTTTTTTTTTCTATTTTAATTTCTTTTCTTTTTTTTTTTTTTTTTTTTTTTTTTAACCCTCTGTCAGGCTAGTTGCGTGCGCTTTATTAAACAAAAGTAAGCTAT